TAGTATGGTAGGTCAGCAGGAAGTCTTATCCAAAATTCCCACTAAAACGAGATGGCGGAAATTTTCGCAAAATTGGAAGTATCAATGAAAAGTGAAATGGCGACAATTTAAAATGATCTGGGACGAATGCTAGCAAAGGTGGAGGAAATAGAAGGAAAAGTGGAAGCGCAGGCCCAGCAGATTGGTAATTTGGAACTACAAGTAAAGAGATGAAAAGAGAACAGAGGAATCTAGCATACAAATTAGAAGACCAAGAGAATAGAGAAAGAAGAATCAATTTGAGGATTCGGGGTCTACCAGAGGTTAGAGAAGAAGACCTGAGGGAAAAAATATGAAGTGTGTTTAATCCATTGATTGGAAAATCAGATACAGATCCCTTGAAAATAGAGTGAGTGCATAGAATTGGACGACCACCAGGAAATACATCGGAATCCCCAAGAGATGTGATTGTTCGCTTTTATTATTATGAGGACAGAGAAAAAATTTGGAAAAATTGCGAGAGAGATCTGAAATAAAATTTGGAGAAACAAAGTTACAAGTTTTTGCGGACGTTGCCTCTGTGACTCTGTCTAGAAGAAGATATTAAAACCATTGCTGGATCAAATGAAAGAGAAAAATGTTTGGTTTAACTGGGGGTTTCCAGCATGCCTTATCAGATGGAAAGATGGGAAGTCGGCCAGGCTCAGATTCCCAGAAGACCTCAAAGATTTTTGTGAAAAACTGGAATTGGGGGTAGTTGAAATAGCGGGGTGGTCAGAGGGGTTCAATGAGAGAGTGGACCTCAGAAATGAAAATTGGCAGCAAGTGAATAGAAAGAGAAAGTAGCGATGGAGGAAGGGAGATAGAGGAGAGAAGACATTTAGGGAGTGGTGTGGGGGTCCCCCCCATATGTATCTAATTTGTTTTTTCTTCTTTCATCTCTCTCTCTCCTCCTTATCCCTCCCTTCGTTGGAATCAGTCCTCTCCGCTGCTCTCCTTTTTGATGGAAATTTTTTTTTTATTATTAGGGGACCGGAGCAGGGGAGGCGGAGAGGATCAGGCATCTGGAGACTTAACAAAGATAAAAGTTTAACTCCCCTAAGTTGGAAAGGGGAGATAGGATGGGGCTAACATGCTTAGAGTCATACCCTAAAATAGGAATCGTCAGTTGGGGAAACCTACGTCAGATTCCAAGGCATTATAGAGGCCAGGGGTGGGAGTAATGGGAATTGGATAGTAGTATACGAGAATACCTATTCTGTCAGTCTACAGGTAAAGAGAAGGAGGATGGAAAAGAAAAGTTACAAAAAGAGATGAGTTTGATTAATATTATGACCTACAATGTAAAGGGTTTAACCATTTGCCGCCCGGCCTATAGCTATTTGGCGGCCGCAAAAATGCTTGAGCTTTCCGGTGTGTACGCCATTTGGCATCCTCCCACACATGCACAGTTTGCGCGGTTGCAGAGCCGCGCAGTGGCGCGATCTGTCACCGGCCGTGTACTTCGGACACGGCCGATGACAGATCTGAGTACCGGTCCCCGTTGCTGGTACCATGTGACCTGCTGTGACCAATCACAGCAGGTCACATGACAGTTGTATACAATGGATGGCTTCATTCATGCCATCCATTGTATACTAGTGCCTAGCTGTGAATGGTCACAGCAGGTCACATGCACATGTCATGTGATTAGCTGTGGCCAAATCACAGCTAAGCACAAAAAAAAAAAAAAAAGAAACCTGAATGAATCGATGTCATTCAGGTAAATGCTTGCTTATAGCAAAGTAATTCTTTGCTATAAGCAAATTGTGTAAAAAAAAAAAAAAATACTGAATCACTTCCCCAAAGTAGTACAATGTTACTATGGTAACATTGTACTACTTTGGTCATAGTAAAAAAATATGAAAAAAAATCTTAAATTAAAAATAATAAAAAAAAAAATATATATATATTTTTTTTTCATACTGTCACCAGTGAGTGTCCCTGTTCACCACCATGCCAGTTATATGATGATGCTGTACTGCACTGGTGACCATATGTAAAAAAAAAATAGTGAAAATAATTTTTTTAATTTTTCCGAAAAAATTATGACAAAAAAAATACAACTTCAAAAAACTCGCCATTCCTCTTATGAAGTACGTCGGACAGTCTACTCTGCAAAAAGGGGTCATTTGGGGGATATCTGTACTATTCTGACAGTCTTGGACCTCAAGAAATTAGATTGGCTGTCAGTACTTCAGCTTTGATCAATTTTCAGATCTATACCATAGTTTGTGAACTCTATAACTTTCCTACAAACTAAATAATACATCATAATTTGGGTTATTTTCACCAAAGACATGTAGCAGAATACATCTTGGCCTAAATTTACGAAGAACAATTATTTATTTGTAAACTTTTATATAACAGAAACAAAGAAAAAACGTGTTTTTTTTTTTCAAAATTTTTGGTCTTTTTTTTTGTTAATTTAGCAAAAAATAAAAACCCCCGGCAGTGAATAAATACCACCAAAAGAAAGCTCTAGTTGTGTGAAGAAAATGATAAAATTTTAGTTTGGGTACAATGTTGTATGACCGCGCAATTGCCATTCAAAGTGTGAGAGCGCTGAAAACCTGAAAAATGGCCTGGGCAGGAAGGTGTAAAATTGCCCGGTATTGAATTGGTTAAACTCACCTACTAAAAGACATAAGGGTTTGAGGGAAGTGCATCAATATTATATAGATGTGGTTTTCTTGCAAGAGATGCATCTGACCTATGATACTAATGTTAAGATATACTCAAGGGACTATCCTCATTGGTATTATGCTGATTAACCAATAAAGAGAGTTAAAGGAGTTGCAATTGGATTTTCAAAAAATACAGGTTTTAAGGTGGAGGAGAAACTAGTAGATCCAAAGAGCTGGTATCTGGGACTAAGAGGAGAAATGCAGCGGCAGAAATATACATTAGTTAATATATATTACCCAAATAATAAAAACCCAGAAAAGTTTTTTCAGGACGTACTAGGTAAAATAATGGATTTCCACAAAAGTAGACTGATTGTAGCGGGTGACTTTAATCTATGCCTAGATCCATGGATGGATTCGTCCTCTGGTACGCAAAAGGAGGGAGGAAGGAAATTAAGAGTGCTAAAAAAGAGGTTATTTCAAAATCAATTAATAGATATATGGAGAGTGAAACATCCTAGAGAGAGGGATTACTCCTTCTACTCGTCTGTGCATAGATCATATTCACGATTAGATTATATTCTGATTGAGCACAGACAATTAGAATTGTTAATGAAATCCGATATAAAGGTGAGGTCTCTTTATCAGACCATGCCCCTGTTATAGCGAGTCTGCAGATGGGAGAAAATCAAAATAGTAGGGCAAGGTGGAGATTAAATGAATCACTTATCCAGGAACCCGAAGGTGGAGGGAAGGTTAAAAATGGAGGAATTTTTTGCCCTGAATGAAACAAAAGAAATATCGATGGCCACTATCTGGGAGACACATAAAGCCTATATGAGGGGAATTCTGATAGCTTTGGGGATAAAAAAAAGAAAGAACAAGAGAGAAAAATAAAGGATGTAACGGAAGAGTTATATAAATTAGAACAGAATCATAAAAGGAAACAGGAAGAAGATGTATATCAGAGGATCACCCTTAAAAGAGAGAGGAATTAAAAGATTTAATGGAGCAGGAGTCTAGGAGAATCCTCAACAGCGTCTCAAAAGATAGATATAGATGGGGGAATAGGCCAGGGAAATACCCGATGAAAAAGTTGAAGGAGAAGAAATCTAAAAGTTAAAAAGAAAAAATTAAGAACGAGAATGGGGAACTGGTATATTCCATCACAGATATAGCTAATATGTTCCAAAAGTTCTATAGTAAGCTTTATGAAGTGAACCGTAAGGATCAGAAAAGAAAGGAGGAAGAGAAGAATAGGAAAAAAGTTAGAATTCCTTAAAGAAGCACAACTACTAAGATTAGCAGAAGATAAATTGTTAGCCCTGGAGAGTATCATATCACAAGAAGAAATTAGAGAGGCCCTAAAGAGTATGGTGGGAGGAAAGAGTCCAGGACCTGATGGTTATACAGTAGGATATTATAACAAATTTAAGGAAATTCTGGTACAGAAAATTTGTAAATATATGAATGCATTAGGAGAGGGGACTGAAATGAGAAAGGAATCACTTCATGCACATAAAACAGTTGTCCTTAAAGAAGGGAAGGACAGTGCACTATGCGATAGTTATAGACCAATATCATTGTTAAATATTGATGCAGAGCTGTTTGCGAAAGTACTTGTCAGTAGGTTGAAAGAACTGATGCCAGAGTGGATACATCTAGATCAGGTGGGATTTGTTCCAGGAAGAGAAGGAAGAGATAATGGTTTAAGAACACTGCTACTCTTACAGAAAGTAAAGAAAGGGAAATAGTTGGCGATTATATTGTCAATAGACGCAGAAAAAGCTTTTGATAGAGTAGACTGGGGAGTTATGATTAATACGCTGGGAGTGTTGGGAATAGGGAGTAAAATGGTAAGATGGATAAAAGGGACTTTATAATAAAACCCACTTGGTCTATTAAAGTGAATGGGTCCTTGTCGAGATCCTTTGAAATGCATAATGGTACTAGACAAGGATGCCCATCGTAGCCGTTGTTTGTTATATCCCTGGAACCATTGTTGGCTATGATAAGAAAGAATATAGATATTTTTTGGTTGAATTAAGGTGGGAGAAGTAGAACATAAGGTAGCAGCGTATGCGGATATGTTGTTTTTACATTGTGAATCCTAGAATGACACTGCCAAATCGAATGGGATTATTAACCGCCTCCCGCCCGCCATATAGAAAAATGACGGTCGCAAGGCAGTTCTCTCGTTCTGGGAGTACATCATATGATGTTCTCCCATTCTAAGCACGCATGCGCGGCTCCCTCGGACACAGTGGATCACCAATCAATGGAAAGAGCCGAAGATGTTGGCTCGGTCATGTGATCAGCTGTGTCCAATCACAGCTGATCGCATGTAAATAGGGAAATGCCGGTTATTGGCATTTCTCTCCTCATAAGCTGTCACGCTGACAGCTCGAGAGGAGAGCCGGTAATCGGCATCCCTTAGAGGGGACATGTACACTGATCATCAGGGCACTGATGATCAGTGTGCCCTGGTGATCTGTGTAGCCCCAGCAGTGCTACCTGTCAGTGTCCATCAGTGCCAGCTGTTAGTGCTCATCCATGCCACCTGCCAGTGCCACATCAATGCCACATTTCAGTGCCCATCTGAGCTGCATTTCAGTGTCACCCATCAGTGCCAGTCAGTGCCACCTATCAATGCCAGTCAGTGCCGCCTATCAGTGCTGCCAATCAGTGCCGCCTATCAGTGCCATATATGAGTGCTGCCTTTCAGTGCCCATCAGTGATGCCTGTCAATGCCCATCAGTGCCACCTACCAGTGCCTCCTCATTAGTGCCCATCAATGCCACCTATCAGTGTCCATCAGTGCAGCCTATCAGTGCCCATCACTGCAGCCTCATTAGTGCACATCAGTGAAGGAGAAAATCACTTATTTAGAAAATTTTATAACAAAAACTAAGAAAAAATGTTTTTTTTTCAAAAATTTTAGTGGTTTTTGGTTTGTTTAAGAAAAAATAAAAACCGCAGAGGCGATTAAATACCACCAAAATAAAGCTCTATCTGTCACAAAAAAATGATAAAAATTTCATATGGGTACAGTGTTGCATGACCACGCAATTGTCATTCAAAGTGCAACAGCGCTGAAAGCTGGAAATTGGCCTGGGCAGGAAGGGGGTATAAGTACCCTGTAGGCTAGTGGTTAAGGAGCTGTCTAGTTTGAAAATAAATTTATTAAAATCTGAGACTTTGAACATCAATATATCAAAAGTAGATGCACAGTACCTACAAAAAGACTTCCCATTTATATGGAGAGAGAGAATTAAGTTATTTAGGAATAAAACTAACTCCTTCAATAAAAAATTTATATCAAGCTAATTATATCCTATTAATAAACGAAGTCAAGGATGCGTTGAGAAGACTCTCAATAGGAGGGGTATGGTGGATAGGTCGTATTAACCTGGTTAAGGCAGTGATAGTGCCAAAAATCCTGTATACATTTAAGATGCTCCCCATATATATACCAGGATCCCTTTTTAAGATAATAAGAAAAACTAGAAAAGTTACAATTTCTGGGGAAATTGTGTGAAGTGTTCTTGCCTCCACCAGTAGTCTACAACTGGAGTGGGGCGGAGTAACTGGGTGGAGTGGCTTGTCACTCTGCTGCCTGCTCACACACCTGGGTTCCTATGGCAACTCACTCTACAAAGGGCAGAGAAAAGCAGTTAAAAACAAACTGCTCCAACTTGCTCACTTCACTGGCGGTTGCCATCTTCAAACGGTTGTAGTTTAAAAATGATAAATTCTACACCGAAGAGCTTTATATTGTGGGAATCACAAGACCCAGACCTACATTTTGATGTATAGTCTGTTTCTGAAATATTAAAAATGAAGGCACAGTCGCAGTTTAGAAATTGCCCTTCAAATTTGAGGTGGCTAGAGTGGAGTTTCAATGAATGTCAATGGGCGGCGTGAGTTGCAAACAAATGGTCATATTCTGAAAACTATCAGGACTATGGCTTAGCCGTGGACATTTTTAGTGGTAGCAGGGATAGCGTTTTGATATAAGATTTGTGTAGGTGGGCTTGAAAATGAGGGAGTGATGGCAGTTTAGAAATCATGTCCTGATTTTTCAGCTCACACTCTAGCTTTTGTCAGCTCCCACTCTAGTTTTGAACATTCCACCATTCATTCCTATGGGACCAATTTCACCACACAAATGCTGATATTTCGTGAACCATTAGGCAAAACATTCCACAAAGTAATAGCACACCAATCGGGAACAATCCGCACGGAGGTGTTAAGAGTGTGGGATGGGGTGCACAAATCCTTGGGTTGGGAATATAACTCATTATTGATACCCCTGGTGGATACTGATTTTGTTCACCAGGAAATGATCACATTTCAGGGAAATGGTTTAGAAATAAAAATGCATGATTAGGGGATATAGTTGATAAGGGAAAATTATGTAAACTTCAGGAATTTTGTTTCAGCACTTCCCCAACCATTAAGGATGTCGGAGGATAAGCTTCCATTTGAAAAAATGTTGAGCTACAGGTCCGCCTATAAACATATTATTATTTATTATTATACAGTATTTATAAAGCGCCAATAGTTCGCTTAGCGCTGTACATTACAAAGGGGGACAGAACATTTGACAGAACAATACCAATACAATGCAAAACATGAGGGGATCGAGGCACAGGAGGAGATAGCTGTGGGGGATGGAGTGGTAGGAAGAGTGGAGGAGGTTGACAAGTTAGCAGGTGGTGGGGTAGGCTTCCCTGAAGAGATGGGTTTTCAGGGTGCGCCTAAAGGAGAGGAGAGTAGGTGATAATCTGATGGGTTGGGGCAGGGAGTTCCAGAGGATGGGTGACACCCTGGAGAAGCCTGGAGGCGGGCATGGGAGGAGGAGACCAGGGAACTAGAGAGAAGGAGGTCTTGTGAGGAGCGGAGTGTGCGTGCTGGGCGGTACTTGGATATTAGGTCAGTGATGTAGTTCGGGGCAGTATGGTGGACAGCTTTGTACGTCAGCGTTAGGATTTTGAATTTGATCCATTGCGCAATCGGAAGCCAGTGGAGGGATTGGCAGAGGGGGTGGCGGAAACGGAGCGGTTGGAAAGGTGAATGAGTCTGGCAGCCGTATTCAGGATGGACTGAAGCGGGGATAGCCAGTGGAGAGGCAGGCCAGTGAGGAGGGAGTTGCAGTAGTCGAGTCGTGATATGATGAGGGAGTGGATGAGCTGTTTAGTGGTTTCTGGAGTTAGGAATGTGCGGATTTTTTGGCGATGTTGCGGAGGTGGAGTCTGCACGAGTTTGTTAAAGATTGGACTTGGGGCTGGAAGGATAGGCTGGAGTCCAGAATGACACCAAGTACTCTGGCCTGAGGGGTGGGTTTGATGGTAGCATTGTTCGATGTGATGGAGAAGTCAATGGGGGGTGGTGTCCGGGCTGGGGGGAAGACAAGAAACTCGGTTTTGGAGAGATTCAGTTTAAGGAAGTGGAGCGACATCCAGTCTGATATGTCGCTCAGCAGGTGTGTGATTCGGGTGGAGACCGAACGGGTGAGGTGGGGGGTTGAGAGATAGATTTGTGTGTCGTCGGCATAGAGGTGGTAGTTGAAGCCGTGAGAGTGTATGAGTTGGCCAAGGGAGGAGGTGTAGATGGAGAAGAGAAGGGGTCCGAGGACAGAGCCTTGAGGGACCCCAACAGAGAGGGGGAGTGAGAGGGGAGGTGGTAGCATTAGCATTAGGGTAATGCTGAAAGAGCGTTGTGACAGGTAGGATGAGAGCCAGGAGAGAGCAGAATCTCTGAGGCCGAGGGAGTGTAGTTTTTTTTTTTGAGGAGGGGGTGGTCGACTGTGTCGAAGGCCACAGAGAGGTCAAGGAGTAGGAGCACTGAATAGTGGCCATTAGCTTTGGCGGTTAGCAGGTCGTTGGAGAGTTTGAGTAAGGCAGTTTCGGTGGAGTGTAGGGGACGGAAGCCAGACTGTAGGGGATCGAGAAGGTTGTTGTCGTTGAGGTGAGAGCATAGGCGGGTGTAGACTAGGCGCTCGAGGAGTTTAGATGTAAATGGGAGCAGGGAGATGGGTCTGAGGTTGTTCGGGTCATTAGGGTCCAGGGAGGGCTTTTTAAGTATGGGGGTGATGTGTGCATGTTTCAGAGGGGAGGGGAAAGTGCCGGAGGAGACGAGAGATTGAAGATGTGGGTGAGGGAGCGTAGGATGGAGGGTTAGGGAGGTCGTAGGAGTTGTGAGGGGATAGGGTCGAGGGGGCAGGTGGTGAGGCAGGCATCAGAGAGGATCTTGGAGACTTCCTCGATGGTAGTAAGGTCAAAGGTGCGGAGTGTTGGGGGAGCTTCAGTATGAGGAATGTAGGGTGGGGTGGAAGAGGAGGTCAGAGCAGTGCTGGGGCCATGGGAGAGGGGTGATTAGGGGGTAGCTGAGTGAGGGGGAAGGGGGTTGGAGGGAGTTTGAGTAGCGACATATAATTTCTAGAATATATAAGATTCTTATTGAATAGGCGGGACCAGATCCTCCGTTATCTTAGAAAGGTGGAAGAGAGAGCTGGGTAAAAAAATTTAATGAGCAAAGAAAGAATAAAATGTATAAGTTAATGCACGGAGTGGTAAATATAAACACAGTAGAAATGAATTATAAGTGTTTTGCTAGGTGGTATTGTACACCGAGTGTTGCACATAAACAGAGAGAAGAAATTTTGCCACTATGTTGGAGGGGTTGTGGGGGGAAAATTGTATAAACATTCAGGGGTTTTGGCAAGAGATAATACGATATATACAGGAGATTGTGGGCATAACTATCCAAAAGGACCCGTGGGTTTGTTTGTACTATGGGACAGAGTTGTCAATAAAACAGTATAAAAATAGTTTAATATACCATTTAATTAGCACTGCAAAAGCAGGGCTTTCTTTCTGCCGGAACGTGGCGGTACTGCGTTCCGCCACCTTTTTCTTCTTGTCCCCGCTCACCGACTGCCTCTGCAGAGCTGACAAGCTATGCAGAGCAGCGAAAGTGACAGGTGCCGGACGCGGCTTGTTTATGTCATGCTTGCGTGTGCCCGGCACCTGTCACTGCCGCTGCTCACAGCCGGTGAGCGGGGACATGCACGCTTCACCCCCCCCCCTCTACCGCCAGCGTGTAAACATCGGGGGCGCGGACGATGGGCGAGGACACTATGCACGCTTCACCGCCCCCCCCCCCCGGCGTGTAAACATCGGGGGCGGCGCGGCGACATCAACGGCAGTGACAGCGTGGACGCAGGGGCCGTACAGCTTGGAGTAGGTAAGCTGCGCTCGGCTCCCTGTCACTGACTGCAGTATCATGTATTGCTCTAAATTTTTACTCTCTCCCCAGCCTGTGCCCACCTAAACTATCCCAACCACCTGTGCCCACCTAAACTATCTGAGCCCACCTAAACTATCCTCACCCACCTGAGCCCACCTAAACTATTTCAGAACGCAATTGCTCAGCGCTCAGCGGCGCCGATCGAGAGCGCCCCTCCTGTGCATGAGGAACAGGAAAGATAAATTCAGTGATGGACGGTATTTTTTTGGAGGAAAAGGTGGCAACCCTAGGGGAGCCTGTAGGAGCAGGCACATCTACCAGACAGGGTACACATGCATGCTAGACTGATTTTATATCTATGCTGGACGTTTACAAACGGCCTGCCATGATTTTATATCTATGCATGTGTTCCTGGTGTCAGTACGGTACTGATTTTATATCTATGCGTGTGTTTCTGGTGTCAGTACGGTACTGATTTTATATCTATGCATGTGTTTCTGGTGTCAGTACGGTACTGATTTTATATCTATGCGTGTGTTTCTGGTG